CAGGGAGCCCGATGCGGGGCTCGATCCCAGGACCCTGGGATCATGACCTGAGCCGAAGGCAGACGCTTAACCACTGAGCCACCCAGGTGCCCCTTCAGCATGTTTTCTGATAAAAGGATCAGGATATAGTATTTCAGAATATCCAGGGGACAGCTAGAACATATCTGCCTGTGTCCCACCATCAGCCTAGTACAGGGGTGAGTGTGCACAGGGCCTTCAGGCGAGGCAGCTCTTCTAGAAAGATGAAAGCTGGACCAAACCATCTCTCCCTCTGGGCTGAAATAGAAAAGCTGCATCTGTATTTAGAGCTTCTATCGGTAGGTGGCGCAAGTTCTACACAACTCCAGTGTTTATTTGCTACTGTGGTGCCCAAAAACCAAGGTGTGCTTGTTTGGGGAGATCAAGCTTTGCAGAAATATGCCCAACCCCTCTTGTGACTGCATTGCCAACGACTTCCCTCTCCTTTGCAGAAAGAGAGACTCTGCGTGGACAAAACCTCAGCCAAGGTCACGTGCCACAAGGATGCCAAGATCCGCGTGCAAGCCCGAGACCGCTACTACAGCTCCTCCTGGAGTGACTGGGCATCTGTGTCCTGCAGTTAGGTGAGCAGGCCCCCAAAGCCCAGCCCACACCTGAACACTCAGTGTTCCCCGGGTGCCGGGCAGTGGTGGGGGGCAGTGCGGGAGAAGAAAGGGGAGATAGGGTGCCTGGCTCACAGTCACCAGAGTCAGAAAGATACCTTTGTTCATTAAACAGATATTATTTGATGCCCATAGTGTTCTGGGCATTATGCTGGGTACAGAGATACTGCAGTAAAGAAAACAGGCGTAGGTCCTGCCCTCCTGGAGGAGAAGCCAAAGAAGAGGGAGAGGGGAGAGGTAGCTAGGAGTCCGAGCAAGAATAGCTCGCAAGCTGTTTTCAGGAGTTAGAACCTTATCCTGGGCACCTGGGGGTGGGGGGAAGACACCAAAGGCAACCAAATCCTAGGCCAATAAGGACAGGCTGGGCCCTTCTGACATGGAATCCCCAAACCCAATTGCCCCAGTCATGTGTCGTGTGAAATAAGGGTTTGCTGCCACATTTCTAATTCACAGAAACTGTTGGTATTCTTTTTCAGGTTCCAATCCCAGGATGAAACCTTGGAGGGAAAGTGGAAGATATTATGCAGAATTTTCTAAAGACTCAATAGAATAGGCCCCCAGAGTTATTTTCTACCTAATTTGCTTTTTGTAAAGGATCATTATCATGTCTTTGCAGTATTTTTACATTTACATGCCAAATGGCCACTGAAACAATCAGCTATTTTATTTATAGATTTTCCAGCTAGCAGGTTGCCACTGACCTTAATGCTATTTAAATATTTAAGTAATTTATGTATTTATTAATTTATTATTTTTATTGGACACTTGTGTGCCAAGATGTATTGTATGTTTCATACTCTCAGGACCTGATTTGTAAGGAAGAGGCCCTATTACGCAAAATGTGAATTTATGTGTTATTTACACTGGAAACTTCTCAAGCAAGACTGCAAATATACGGGTTTTATGACAACCAGTGAGAACACAATGTTCTGATGCCAGCACCATAATATATTTGTGATGGATGAGAACACAGAAGTAGTTAAATAGAGACATGGAGACATGAATCCATTTGAAAAGGTTCTGGAGATGGAGATGTCAATTCCTGTATCCATGAAGACTTCCTGGAGGTGGTGTTGATAAAGCAATTCAGGGCCACCTACCTGTACTTCTAAGCAAGTTTAGTTTTGGGATGCCTGAATTTAGAAAGGGCTAAAAAAATAACTGAAGTTGAAATTCAGCTTCAGCCACCCTGGCAGTCCCTACCCCCATCTATCTGTAAGACATAGGAGAGGGACCCGGAGACAATGTAAGTGTCTGGAAAGTAAAAAGGTCTTATGATCCAGGAAGGAGAACCGGTAGGGCCAAGCACATAAAGCTGTCAGAATTGCCAGGTGCTCCTTAATAGCCAGGCAAAAAAAGCACAAAGATGCAAAGAAAATGATCAAGAATTGCTTACTCGTCAGCGTGAGCAAACCTGACCGGATGTGACCAGAAAGTGCCCACCACTAAGGTGCTACTTTTAAGTAATGAATATGCTTTCTGTAAAATGATTTCATTCATTTTCTGTTTACTTGTTTTTACATTCTGACGATGAACTAATAAAAATATAACTCTTCTTTGCAATAATACTTTGGGCTTTCTCAGCTGACTCGAGGATCCTATTCCCACATTTACCAGGACTGCATTATTTTTCCCCTGCCATTTAAGAATTGCCCTTCTTTGAAGCAATTTCACTTCCAGTTTTGCAGAGTTGCCCTTTCCCTTTATAGGATTCCCAAAGTCAGTGTCTTGCTGAGCTCAGGGAATGTCCCTGTGGTCTGACTACAGGGAACTCTGCAAGGGCACCGAACTGCATTATGCCCTCTTTAGAGGTTGGATGCTCTTGCTCTGTTCACCTTCTAGCCTGCAATCAACTCTACTAGTTCCAGAACATCATGGAATAAAACTCCAACCTGGTCGAGTCATAAGCATCCCATCCCATAGGAACAGATCCAGTGTTTATGGAGGGCTTGTCATATGTCTGGACATGTGCTAGCTCTTGAGGTTGAGGAGTTCCAGAAAATCTTGGGTGGCCTTCCTCCAAACAGTGCCCACTCCTGGCACAGCTTATAAGACAGGGATGAAAAGTTAACTGCAGTACCACTAAATGCTAAAATGTACGGTATATGGTGCCCTGGGGTAAGAACAAAGGAGAAGAATCAGTGTAACCTGGAGTTGCCCCAGGAAGGCTCAATGGAGAAGGGGAGGTCAAAGAAAGGGCAGAGCCTGCCAATTCCTCTTCGGTGCCTCCCATGGAAAGAGCAAGTGGTGGGATCCGAGAGAATGGAGTCCATTCTCTACTATCTTCAATGGCCAAGTGAACATACTTGGGCTTCCTTGCAATGGCAAGGTAATTATAATAGGGATGTTGTAAGTGTCCTTATTTGAAGTGACTCCTGGAGCCCTTATTCTACTCTGCTTCTGACCTGGAGGAACGGTGGGAAGATCCCGTCATCCTCATCCAACATTTGAAATCTATCATCTTGTATTATGAGCCCACACTTGATAGCACACGGTTGGTTAATAACAACTCTTTGTCCTCCTACAGGGCCTTTCATCTAGACATACCAAAACACTTAGTGGGCACTTAATGAACAACGCTAACCAAGAAAAAATAATTAATCACATTTATGAGTACAGAGACCAGGGGACCTTTCCCAAAACTTTTGGCCAGCAAAGGGCCGAGCTCAGATGTTCTGGCTCCCAACTGACATGACCTCTTAGCATCCGATTAATTTTAAGTTCAGTACATGCACTGAAGAGCTTTTGTCTTTGAAAGATATTCTCCAGGACAGTCCTTTTTTATGAGGCGTCTATCCACTACAAATGTGTCAAATGTTATAGCAAAAGAGCTCAAGACTGGGACTGCAGGAGACTCGTTCTGGCCAGCCCTGCTACATGACCGTGTGACCTTCAGCAGGACACCAAACACAGCCTGCTTGTTGTCCCATCACTACTCCCTCTCAACTTCTTTCTCTCCCAGTGACCCTCCTGAGCTCTAGGTTTGGGAAGCTACGTAATCACTTTTCTAGCCACGCTGGCTGCCCAGCAAGGCCATGAGACCTAGTTCCAGCCCATGACACCTAAGAAAATTCTGCTGGCGTTCTCCTGAGAAAAGACAGAGCCAGGGCGAGCATCACCCATTCCCTCCTTCCTCTCTTGAGCAGATGAAATTGAAGAAGTCTCAGAGGAAACCCTGCAACCAGAATGGAAACCATCATGCTGAGACTATAAAAAGACTCTGGGACCCTAGCAACAACAAGAAGCTGAACCAACCCCTGTAACTACCCCAGCCTTCTTGTGTTAAAAAGAGAGACCCATGTGTGTGGTTTTTCAGATGGTGGTAGAAAACACATGAGAGAAAATGTACCATTTTTGTCACTTTTAGGTGTCGAATTCAGTGGCATCCGCTACATTCAAATTGTTCTGCGACCGTCACCACCAGCCATCTCTAGAATGTTCTCTTCTTCCCAAGCAGACTCTGTACCCATTAAGCAATAACCCCTCCCATGTTTGTTTTCAAAACAGGAAATAACTAAAGTGAAAATTAAATAAAGATATTCTCTTCAACATCTAGATCCCGTCTCTGAGAGGCAGGCCGGCACTGGTAGGAACTGGTGTCAGAACACCTGGGTCTGCCCCTCACAGAACATCTGGTATAACCCCTTGGGGAGCCCTGGAGCCATATCCAGTGATGCCATGTGGGGTCCTGGTAATACCCTGCCTGTCTGAAGAAAGGGAACCACGGTCAGGAAGATTGTGCCGAGGGCAGCCTGAGCCTGAGCAGGACTAAGCTGGGGCGGGG